ATATAATATAATATAATATAAAAATAAACTGAGACTTGGTTTGGAGTAATTGGTATAACACCAGGTGACTTTTCTGAATTGGACTTTCACAGCTAGTTATGGCTTTTTCTATGCAAACAGTTGTTTGAAAATTTTGGTAATTATATATTCAATATTGAAACATCCGTATGTGTCATCAGTACACAACGATGACACGGTGCAGAGAATTTACATCGGCTCCATGGGAATCAGCAACCAGCGATTCCTGCCAGAGCATGAAGATCCCAGCAGCTCAGAGTTTACTCAGCTGGCTGCTCAAGTCAGCCAACAGGTGAGACCTAACAGACTCACAGCATGATGGGTGTTCTCCATGTATGCTGAATCGCATGTATCACTTTAACCACTGGTTACAGCCAAGGTTTGCAAAACAGCATCTCTGAATCCACTTTGGGTACGTCTCCTGTCGGCTGGGAACAGGAAACTGTGGCTGTTCAGTAACATCAAAAGAACTGGACAATAGAGGACTGCAATGATTTGCACATTTCATAAACCAATATTTTATTCACAATAGAAGACAGAAAACATCTCACATTTTTAAACTAAGACTTTTTTCTATGTTATGAATCTTTTTTTCCATTGCCCAGTTTTAAGTGTCTTGACTTCTGCTGCATTTGAATGGTAGGGTCAGAATTTGCAGGAAACCTTGGCCCTATCCTGCTTTGTGTCAACAGTTCAGCCTGGTAGTGGTGGTGTAGTGGTGTAGGGAATATTTTGTTGGTACACTTTGGGCCTCTTTGGGCTCGATGATGATACTCAACTTCTCGTGGCTGCACCATGTCACTGGTTTCTTGAACATGACATTGACTTCACAGTAGTCAACTGGTCTCAACTGGTCTTTGTCACATGCACAGTCTCACATGTCACTGTGACAAATCTCCAGCGACTGTGTGATGCCATCCTGTCGAGATGGATCAAGATCTTGTTGTTTAATCTGTGCCACGAAGAATTAAAGCAGTTCATGCATATATCCACACAATGAGACCTGATTAAATTGCAGGGTTAACTGCTTAATGATTCAGTTACAACATGGTTCATTTTGCTAAATGACTGCTTGCTATGAATCTGTATTGTAATCTTGATGTTATCACAAACCTGTGGCTTCCTCTGTTGTGTGTTTCTGTCTTTGTTGAGGCAATTAAAGGAAGTCGCTGCAATGATGTGTGACTTTTTTCTCTTTCAGCTGAAACTGATTTACTTCAAAAACTCAATGCTGGCCAAATACTTCAACTGCAACACCGTCCAGGCTTTCAGGTACTGTGAAATAGAAACTTGACTGCCTGTCAGTGGCCATGGTGTCATGCTGACTGTTAAATGTTGTGTGTTTGTCATTTGTTCACTGTGATCAGCTTATCTAGTTGAAGATGTTAAGGTGCTGAATCAACAGTCAGTTCATTAGAGTCGGTGCAACTGTGACATGGATCAAGATGCAATGGCCTCCCGGGGTGGTCAGAGGGCAGCCACTGATTTTTTTCTACCTGTAGGAAAGAACTTTGGCGCCCCCAAAAGGAAAAAAACAACAAAACAATTGTTTTTTTTTTATCATTTTTTTTTTTTTTTTTGGGGGGGTGGGGAGTCAAGCCCAGCCATGCGCACACGCACGCGCACGCGCATATCAGGTGTTGCTATCCTAGGGGGGACCTGTCATTGACACAATGCTTTCCTTAGCCGCTTACCTTAACCATCAGAAATGAATGCCTAATCATAAACCTCAGCCTAAACCTAACCTTGTGACCCTGACACTAAAACCACATGTGTAAGACTGGGAGGTATGAAAAAAGAAGGGGTATTCAAAATTGGGTCCATATTTATCAGCAATGCACATATTAATATTTTGAATACATAAATTAGGTTTTATAAATATGGCCAGTTTGGTTTTGAGGATGTCTGGGATTATGATGTTAAACGCTGAGCTGTAGCCCTTTTCTGTGCTGATTTTTATGTCACAGGAGGTCTGAACCTGATTATTGATTCAATTTTTTTGGACTATGTGCAAAACTTGCTAACTCTATACATCTGTAGAGTATTCAATGGTTGGTTTTAATATGGTGGATTGGTTTGTACCCAAAATACTGAACTCTCTTGTTCAGTGGGGCACTTTAAAAATAAAGTCTGTATAAATCCTCTCTGTGTTTTGTGGAGCAGTGAGGGTGACAGCGGTGACGACAGCATTGTGGTGTATTATGAGTCGAAGTTTGATGTCCCCGTCCCTCAACAAACCACTGTGGATCAAGCCATTGAATCTCTGGAGCCTCCAGCAGAAAGTGAATGGAGCCAACAGGGACAAGGGCTGCTGAAACCCAGTGACACCCTGAACATCAGCAGCATCATCTCACAAGGTTTGACAGCTCATAGATCCATGCAATTTACACTCTTTTACAGGTTTGTTTGTGGTTTGTTACCCAATGAATTGCCATTGTAAATGAGTTCCTGGAGTAAATGTTGCTTTCTGGTCAAGAGGTCGTTCTGGCCAAGGAAGTAGTTCAGACTTCCAACAGGTATATGACTCAGCAGTGACTAACAGATGGCAGCATGAGACAGGAAGATGCACATAGTCCATAAGAGGACACATTTCTTCAACCATCTCAAAAGTTCTGAAAAGTGCAGGAATGATCTAAGTTAGGTTAATATATGAGCCTTTGAACTCAAAGAACCATATTTACTTTTTTAAAAAATATTAAGTTAACATATATCTGAGATCTTCTGGTATCCACTTCCCTCACAGCGGGATTTTAGTTGATTTAAATGATTCAGAATATAACAGAGATTCCTAAGTGGTTGCACGACTGCTGAAAATGCCTTATAGTGTGTGGTACATGCAACACTGATGTTTGCTGGAGACCACTTAGAATAACATATCTACTTCTGTATCACTGTTGTCTCCCAGTGGTGAGAAACTTTGAAGTCTTTGAAACACTGGATTTGCTCTAGTGGCTGCTAGACTGCTGCACTGTATCTGATAAGGCAATGGGGTCTCAGGCTACGTCCACACCAGCCCGGATAGATTTGAAAACAGCGTTTTTGCCTGAAAACGCTCTGCGTCACATTATCGTTTTCAATCGTTTTCACAGAGTTGTGCGTCTACATTAAAACAGCCGAAAACGCTTACGTCCCAGTCCTGCACGTGCATGAAACGCAAGAAGTTTCAGCCTGCATCATTTCTGTCAGCCGGTTATTTGCTTTCCGGCTCTTTGAAACGTTGCAGCAAAATGTTGAGAAAAAGCACTGAATTTTTTAAATGGACTAACAATGAGGTGGAGATGTTGCTGTGAGTATCACGAATGTACAAAAGTGCAAAAGCGAGTGAGAGTTAAAGAATTTGAAGAAAAGCTATCTGGAGCATGTGCAGACATATTAATCTTTAACAGGGCTGTCAAAATTGAGAGCAAACAAAACAACTGTTGTATAATGCCCTCCGCTATCTTAGTTTAATTGGTCACATGACTGCATCACATGACTAAAATGCATCATTGTCTCCGTTTTCGCTTAATTCGATTAAAAAAGAAAATTCCACCAGTATTTATCTGAACATTTTCAGCATCATGAAATTTGAGTTAGTAGTGAAGAACTGATATGTGGTGTCCTAATAAATGTATTTTTGTGTTCACAGCTATAGATCAACGCTTGGCCAGGACCCCATTAACTGGTGAGAACTGGTTTACCTGCAAGCATTTGTGTAGTAACGTATACAAGTTTATTAAAATTAAAATGTAAAGAAGTCTGTTTATGGAGGTAAATAGGTTACAAAATATAAAAGCTTGTATCTTCATATCCTGTTGGGGAAAAAAAGTGATGCATTCATGGTTGTGCTGGTGTGGGTCAAACAAGAACTTTTTTCAATGTATTTTCAGAGAGGATGTTCTTCGACATCCACGTCAGAAACCCTGGATTTGTTCATTCTCCAGGGTTTCCCTATTATCTTTATCCTCCAAATCTCAACTTGCAGTGGAGGCTTCGTGCGGACCCGGGCCACCGAGTTAGGCTCGACTTCCACAGTCTGATCTTGGAGGACGACTGTCAGCGCGACTTCATCAAAGCCTATGATTCGCTGGTTCCCATAGAGAAACGTGCTCTGACAGAGTGAGACAAATAATCCCTCTCCCAGAATTTAAACTGTCATCTACCTCTGTGTGTTTGAGATTTTAGCTTATTACAGTGATGGGCAGATATACTTCAGGGGTGGATGCATGAATTTTTGCAAATTCACAGCTAAAGCTATGTGTATGGGAAAAGGCAGAAAGGTACCGGTACACTCATTCTTTTTATTGTTGGACTTGTTTGCAAAGAAGTTTTTGAACGCTAAGTTTGTAATAATGTAGAGAAATGTTTTAGTTTGGTAAGCTACCTTAATTCCTGCCTAACTTAAAAACCAAACTGTGTAGATCTGGTCTGAGCTATATGGGAGAGCTGTGTATTTTTATGACACATTCTTCCTTTATAAATGCTTGGGATGTTTTTTCTTTTTTCTTTTTCACATCTTTACATGCATCCAGCCCCAGGACTGTGGTATCACTGCTCTGTGTTATCAGAAATAAAACAGGCCTTTCAGGCATCTTTAAAGTTCCTCTGTAAAAGTTAATATATCCGTTCTTTTCTCAGACAGTGTGGTCATCCTCAAAAATCATTATCCTTCATCTCTGGAAACGTCATGTTACTGACGCTGGTCACAAATGAGGAGAAAAACTTCCCTGGCTTCAAAGCAAGCTACTTCCAGATTCCTGTGACTAAACTAAGTAAATGCAGACACATTGTGAACAGTTATCACTTCTTCATGTTTTTTTAAGGAAAAAAAGAAACAATTGTTTTCACTGGGTCTCAAAGAATTTCATGAAAATAATATTGCACTTATATACATAGATTAATGTGTAATTTTGTCTTCCAAGAAACTGATGCATTCTCATAAATGTATAATTATTCAATAAAAAAATCCATAAGCTAGAGCTCACTGGCAAAAACATGTCACTGTAACTGGGATTATGCACTTGAATGTGTACAGAAATAGAATTCAGTTGACCTGCAGGATTATGTTGTGTCAGTGTAAACGCCATCTCCTGACATTTCTGCTGATTCTTGTGATATTAGAAACTTAATAAATGGAAGCTGAGTATAGTGATGAACTATCTGTTGTTCAGATTGTGGTGGCACAATGACTGAAGACAAAGGCTTGTTCTCTTCACCATTTTTCCCCTCCAATTACCCTCCAAGCACATCATGTGTGTGGAACATCGAGGTAAGTCCTCAAGATACTATTTTAATTTCATTTAAATTAAAAATTAAAAAATTAAGAATAAAAAAATGAATAAGGGGTTGCTATCATCTACATCAGATTTGTGATGACCTTGACATCCATTTTCACAACATTTTCTCAGTTAATAATCACATTTGAGCTGTATTTGATTTTCAGGTTGCAAAGGAAAAATTTGTGAAGGTTGACTTCAAAAAGTTCTTTGTGGGAAATCAAAGTGAGCATTGCCCCCATGATTATGTTGACATCAACGGTGAAAGGTAAGTAAGCATCAGTTTATGCCTCCTTTTACTGACTTTGTACATCATCCGTGTCAGTGGTGGGATTGCATGAGTCCAAAATTAAGACTGCAGAGTTCTGAGTCAGCAAGTCCCAAATAAAGACCACAAGTCAATGTGTCAGAAGAGTTTTATGACTTGATCACTCAAATTGTGAATATTGCCTTAAATTTGATTTATTCTGCTCCTTTTCATCTCAATTTTTTGTTATTGGACTGGACTAGAGTAGCTTTGCATGATTCACTGTTCATATAATAATAATTTATCTGATAATGGGCTTTTGATGTAGCCTCTAAGCACAGTCTGAAACAAGCTCCTCTCTAAAAAGCCAACTTACTGATGCTCACAAACAGAATGTTGGAACAGCAGGTGGATGGAGGTTGTGTGCGCACAGGCACAGCTGTGTGCGCACGGTGACCATATAAAGGATTTTCCTAATATTTAAGATCATACAGACCCAGGTGTAGAAAAACTCCTATTTTAGAATTGACAGCATGCTTAAAACAAGAAAAAAATTGTCTTACTGCATTTGTGCTGACCATTGGCACACTGGGTGATGACCACAGAATCAGAATTTATGTAGAATTACTGTAGTTGGTTATGTGTTGGCACAACATTGCCCCATCCCTTTTTTATAGTTGAATGGTTCATGGGTCATTGTTCTTCATGCCTGCAAAGCTTTCGCTCAAGGCCACTTGAAAAATTACTTGAAAGTTACATGAACAATTTTGAAATTCATCCCCATATATACTAATGTGAAGCCAACTGCTACAATCTAAAGGGGGTAAAATTAGACTCAGTTCTAACCTTTGAGCCACACATCAGTAAGTTGTGCAGTCATGCTTTGCATGAAAAAGTCACATATTCTTTTGTTTTTTCTTGGCTACATTACTGGAGCTGTGTTCTTTCTGGTACAAATAAGAAGTTACTCTCTCACATCCAACTAGTTCAACATGTAGAATAGAATAGAATAGAATAGAATAGCTTTTTATTGCCATTGTTACAAAAACAATGAAAGGCAGTTTGGCATCTCTCCATGTGTGTGAAGTACACAAAAGCATACGTATTCACACAATAACACAGACAAATGTACACAAGAAAGATATGTACAAGTTATACATACACCTGCATGGATGCACCCATAAATACATACATACACACACATACATACATGCATGCGTACATATGTACACACACATATTTCCACATACACGTTTACATATATATATACATACACATACATGCCCTCTGAGGAGCAGGTGCATTGTGAGGTGGAGTGTGATCAGTGATATAGCACACTGAGTGGGTGGGGTGGGGGATTTAAGTACCTGAGCTTATGACTGATTGGATCTATTTGAGGAGTCTGTAGCTCAGATTTCTGGCTCAAATTTACATTTCAGGAACAAACTTGAGTTTATACATTTGGCTGTTTGGTCATGAAGCTTCTCTGTAGCTGGACGAGTATTGTTCTGTGTTATTCAACAGAATCACACTGTATGTGCTCTACCTGAAAGTATTAGTTATTCATCCCCTGTCACTAGACTGTGTTGAAAACACTATTTTAGGACTTGTGTGTGTGTGTGTATGTCTGTTTAGATGGACAGACAGACAGACAGCTCAGTGTGTGTCTGTCTCTCTTTTTTTGTTGTAGGCTGTGTGGCAATGGCTTAAACAGCAGAGTGATCACCATCAAAAGCAACAAGGTGACCATTACGTTTAACTCGGACTCCTCCTATGTCGACCAGGGTTTCACTGCTGAGTATGAGGCCTTCATCCCAACTGACTGTAAAGAGGACTTTTAAAAAACATTTTCATAAAAGGATTTCAGCATTTTCCAACCCAGGCAAATAGATGAAAGGACTTTTTGTTTTATCAGCTTGTCCAGGAAGGTTCCAGTGCAACAACTCCCTGTGCATCAGCAATATTTCTCAATGTGATGGCTGGAACGACTGTGGAGATAACAGCGATGAGATCAACTGCAGTGAGTCCAAACCATCAAACATCTCTTTGTATGAAGTCTAAAAAGAATAAAAGAAGGTTTAGAAAAAAAAATCCAGATTAAATATCAACTGGAATTGACCTCAAAAAAACTGTAAATCACTCTCAGTCTGTAGCATTTTATTGTTGTTGTGTTCAATTTGTTTCTCTGCTTAGCATGTGACGCATCTCAGATACAATGCAAAAATGGTCACTGTAAACCCAAATCTTGGCTGTGTGATGGGATTGATGACTGTGGAGACAACACAGATGAACAAAACTGCAGTGAGTAAAGCAGAAATTTAATTTCTACCTATTTCATTTCATCAAATCAAATCAAAACATTTTTATATAGCACAATTAAAAACAACAATGGCAATCAAAGTGCTTCACAAGTTAGGAGCCAATAAAAATAGACACATTTACCAACAGCAAAACAACAGCAACAAAAGAAAAACATAGAAACCAGCCAAATGATAGTCAAACTAACCTAAGTCAGAGCCAAAGTAAAAAAAAATGAGTCTTTAAGTGAGACTTAGAAGACTGAATAGACTCAGCAGTGCAATAACATTCTTTGATCAAGGTTAGATCAAGTAGTTGGTCTTAAAGCCAGACTGGAACTTTTCAGTAATACCACTGGTATCTAAGAAGTTGTTTACATACTACTTTTCCAGGATTTTTGACAAAGAGGGAAGTTTAGAAATTGGCCTCTAAATTGAAAGAACACTAGAATCAAGATTGGTCTTCTTAATAAC